AGGTAGCAGTGTCGTCCTGCCCACACATGTGCTCTCCCCATCTCATGCTCTGCCTCAGTGTTATATAACATTGTTTGGGTGAACTGCCTTCAGTTCCTTCTCTAACACAGAGCTCATTGATAAGAACTCCAAAGCAGAGGGAGGAAGGCAAGTAGTGGAGCACGCACAAGGACATACATCTTGAAGAACCACAGTTACTGCATAAGGTGAGTAACCCTTTCTTCTTCTTTGAGTAGTGTACCTATGGTGAGTCTACAGCAGTATTCCAGAAGGAGGTTGAAGGTTATGAGAGCAATGGCAATAGGTAATGCAGTCCAATATCCATCTAGAGAGTCTTTGTTTAGAGATTGGGGATCCCTTAGATTTGTCTGCAATGGAGAGGAATAGTCTGGGAGATTTTTTGAGAGGTTTTGTCCTATTCAAATAGAAGGCTAATACTCTCTTGACATCAAGTGTGTGTAATGTTGCCTCCCTTTTGTCCTGGTGTGGTTTGGGAAAGAAGGCTTGGAGGTGGATAAACTGATTTATGTAGAAGTCCGACGGTATTTTTGGTAGGAATTTAGGGTGTGGTCTTAATGCAATCTTGTCTTTGCAAATGGGGGTGGGGGTATGCCATTAGTGCCCCTATCTCTCCCACTGTCCGAGCAGACATAATGGCCACTAGGAACGGTTTTCATAGCGAGATGTAGAAGAGAGCAAGCAGCCATAGGATCATAGGGAGACCTTGTAAGGCACTTGAGGACAATGTTGAGGTCACATGCTGGTGTAGGACATCTGATTTGTGGGAAAAGGTTACCCATACCCTTGAGATACCTTTTTGTTGTAGGATAAACGAACACAGAATAACCGTATATTTTATGATGGAAGGCGGTGATGGCTGTGAGATGTACCTTTATGTAACTTAGAGATAATCCTGACTTTTTTAGTTCTAGGTCCTAGAATCTAGGATGTAGGCTAGCACAAGTGGTAATGGAGAGGATGTAGAGGTAATGTATCTTGAGTCACACCAGAGTTGTAATCTCTTCCATTTTTGAATGTATGTGTGATGAGTAGTTAGTTTTCTGCTATGTAACATCACCTCCTTTACATCCTCAGAGCAGTTCATTTCTAAACTTTGGAACACCGAGGAGCCACTGAGGTGAAGAGCCTGAAGATTGGGGTGGAAGATCAGTCCTGCATCCTGAGAGAGGAAGTGAGAAATGGGCTGGAGAGTGTTTGGCAGGAAAATTGCCATTTGAGTAAGGTATGGAAACGTTTGTTTTGGCCATGTTGGAACTATAAGAATAACCCTGGCCCTTTCTTTTCTTATTTTGGGCAGGACCTTTTGCTTCTACTGCATCTAGGTAGGCCCCTATGAATTCCAGATGTTGTACTGGGGTTAAAGTGGACTTTTGGACATTTAGTTGTAGTCCCAGCTGTAGGAATAGATTCATAGTCTTGTGTGACTCTCACAGTATTGTCAAAGGAATGTACTTTGAGCAGGCAATCATCTAGATACGGGAATATCATAACTCCTAGTTTATGAAGGTATGCTGCTACCACAGAAAGGACCTTCAAGTACACTCTCGGTGCAGATGACAGGCCGAATGGGAGCACTTTGTATTGAAAATGGTCTTGATCCAGAAAGATTCCTAGAAACTTCCTGTGTGATGACTGGATTATGATATGAAAGTAAGCATCTTGTAGGTAGAGGGCAGAGAACCACTCTCCTTAGTCCAGAGATGGGATTACTGCTGCCAAAGTAACCATCTTGAAGTGTTGTATCTTTACAAATCTCTTGAGTGACCTTAGATCCAGAATGGGTCTCCAACCGCTGTTCTTTTTAGGTATCAGGAAGTATTTGGAATAAAAACCTTCCCTTGGTGTTGAGTAGGAACTGGTTCTATAGCACCTAGGTTCAGAAGATAGTTTGTTTCCTGACATAAAAAGTGCTCATGAAAAGGATCCCTGAAGAGGGATGGGGAGGGAGGGTGGGTAAAGTGGACTGAATATCACGTGGAGATGATCTCCAATACCCACTTGTCTGTGATTATACGTTCCCAGTTTTGACGAAAAAGAGTAAGGCGGTCGCCAAAGAGGTGGAGATGTTTGGGTTGTTGCAGCAAATAAAAGCGTGTGTGTGGGGTAAACTCGGGGCCTCGACCAATACATCAAAATTGGTTTTTAGATGTAGATGGTTGTGATGCTGAAGATTGTGGGTAGTGATCTTCGCTTTTATCGTTGTTGTCTTTTCCGATAGGGTTCATAATGCTTCTGGGGAGGAGGGAATTCAGCCAGCCGGGATCTCTGTGCCAACCGTGACTTAATAGATCTCCTTTTTTTTTGTAGGTGTGTAAATTCCCCAGGAACGCAACGTGGCTCTGGAGTCTTTTAATGTGTGGTGGGATTCTTCTGTTCTTTCTCCAAATAACTTGGATCCTTCAAATGGAAAGTCTTCCAAAGTGGATTGTACCTCTTTGGAAAGCCGGAAAGGTGAAACCATGAAGCTTTCTGCATGACCACTGCGGTTGAGATGGAGTGAGTAGCTGTACCAGCAACGTCCAGAGAGGCCTGCAACTATGTCCTTGCAAGGAGTTGACCCTCAGCAATGATTGCCTAAAACTGTTCTCTTTGATCAGTTAGGAGATGTTCGATGAAGCCATTTAACTTAGAGTAGTTGACATGATTGTATTTTGCCATAAGGGCTTGGTAATTAGCAATCCTAAATTGTCGGGTCACTGATTAATATGATTTCCTTACAAATAAATCCAGTCATTTCCAGTCCTTGTCGTCAGGTGCCGATTTAGCGGGGTGCTGTCTGCCATGTTCATTTACAGCATCGACAAGGGAATTCAGGGATGGGCAAGAAAATAAGAAGTCCATGTCCTTAGAGGGAACACAATATTTTTTGTCTGCTCTTTTGTATGTGGGAGGTATTTTGGCTGGTGTCTGCCATATAGTTTTCACTGGGTTGAGCAAGGCCTCATTGACAGGGAGCGCAATGCGAGCTGATGAAGATGTATGTAGGATGTCCAGCAGCTTATGTTGTGACTTCTTCAGGTGAAATTTGTACCGAGTTTGCTACTCTCTTAATAAGATCTTGAAACTATCTGAAGTCATCTGCCAGGGTTGGTGGGGAAGGCATCAGGAGAGACGAAGAGATGTTGGTCACAGGAGTAACCTCCTTATCTAGTCTCACTTCCTGTTCTTTAAATATCTTCTCTTGAGGATCAGGAGGTCTGGATAGAGAAGCTGAATCCCTCTATCCCTTTGGGTGACATGAGATGCCCTTGAGAACTGGTGTTTATAGGTCACCCGTGGGTCCCAGTAGGACCCCTGAGGCGGTGCTAAGTGCATAGGTGGGGACACCCAAGGGTGTCCATACCAACTGGGTGAGCCGTGCCTCCCATGGCGGTAAACTGGGGTTGTAGTGATTTCTGGGTGGCTGGCTTCTTGATATTGTAATGGGGAGCCTTCCACAGACACTGAATAAAAATCATCATCATCCTTTTCATCGTCGCTTGACAGAGGTGAAACAGTCAAGGATGCTGGGGGAGATTGCCTCAGTACCGCACATAAGTCAGGGGACCGAGATATGGCCAGTATCGAGATCATGTCAGTGCCGAGTAGAGGCGTCTCTGAGATTAGTAAGTCTTCAGAAAAATGAAATTCCTGCAGTAGCGGTGGGTACCGCTGAGGTAAGATGAGCAGTAGACGCTGATGTAGACAGAGACGATGGTACCAGAAATCTTCTGCATTCCAATGAATGGCCAGTAGGTGTTGTTCTGGTCTTCTGTGGAGCCGAAGTACTTGGTACAGAGGCCCAAGAGGACTCCGTGGTGCTGCTTTGGAGGAGCTATATTGCTCTCTACCACTCCTTTCCCCTGATGGTACTGATCTTCCCGAGTCTACGCCCTTAGAGTCTTTAGACTTATTGGTGGTACCGATACTGAGAAGCCTGCAGCCTTGTGGGTACCCAGCCATAGGTCAGTTGGTACTGAGGTGATTGACCTGGTCTGATATCTCTCTCTCTTCTCAGGGGACTTGTAGTCCGCTTCTTTGAGAGGAATACAAAGATTTCCTCTTTGAAGTCACCGGAGAATGTTGAGCCGAGGACATTGATAGAACTGACTTAGTCGAAGACCACAATACAGGAGTGGTCCCAGGGCTGGGGTAAGAGGTTGGTCTGAGTGAACTTTCCATTATGAGGCATCTCAATTTTAGTTCATAGTTTCATGCAAAAAGTGCACTTTTGAGGCACGTGTGATTCTCTGAGGCAGCGAATGCAGCAGGAATGTTCATCACTGGCTGGAATGGCTTCTCGACAAGAGAGAGAAAGTTTAAACATGGGGAATCCGGGCATATCCTTTCCAAGGTTCACTTCCCAAGAGAGAAGAAACAAAGAAGAACTAACTAAGGACAGGAAGTTAGATATTCTAACAACAAAATAAAGAGAAGAAAAAAAAAAAAGGAGGGGAGTATTAACACTAACGGAAACTCTAGGAACTACACTATTAACTGCAAAACAAAAGTAAGATATAGATAATGAACTCTGAAATCGGACTCTGCTAAGGCTCTGTCTCAGGCGAAAGGCAGGGAACTGAGGGTGGCTCGCCTGCACCGAGGCACAGCACAAGATGGGAAGAGCGCATGTGTGGGCTGAACGGACACTGCTACCTAAATTCTCTGATCTGAGATGCAAGGACATGAATACAGCTGGAGTAGGGCACTCATACGGACAGTACTCAAAGAAGAAACATAATTTAACACCTGTGTTTGTTACATAGAAAACCAGAACCATCCCACTTCTGGGAAAGTGTTTCATTTATTTTTAATGGTTCTCTTTTTTGTCTCTTTGATGACTACAGACATACTATTCTAACTAAAGTAGTTTAGCTAAGGAATAAGAGTAATGGAAAACCACTGTAAGTCGGAACTCGACATCTCTCCCTCTCAAGTTGCAACTGAAAGTAAATCTGGTTACAAATATACATACAGAACACACATTCAGCAATACTCACCTTTCTGAAAAATCAGATTCTATAAATTCCCGAGCCCGTTTTCTGTCCCTAGGGAGAGGGAAACATTTTTTTTTTTAAATATAACATCTTTCTTTTATGCAGGGACCAAGAAAATATATACATTTTGTATATAGGAATATTAACAGCCTTGCACTTGAGCATTTAAAAAAATCTTTCATTTTTAAGTATAGTTAAATGTACTATGCAAACTATGAGAGAAAAAATAATGCAAATATCACCTGACAAAATTTAAGTGAGAAATGGTTACAATTTTAGATGCAGCATGGTGCAGAGAACAGAATATCATAGTGGGAAAGAGGAAACATAGGTTCTATTCCCAGGTTTGCCACTGATTTGCTGCGTGACCTCAGGCAAGTCACTTGGGCTGGCATTATTCAATGTGCCTAAGGGAGCTGGACAACCAAATCCCACTGAAGTTCAGTGGATTTGAGTCGTTAAGTCCCTTAGGCGCCTTTGAAAATCCCAGTCTTAAATTCTGTGCCTTGTTTTTTCTCATCTTAAGGAGATGATAATGGTTCCCTTTATAAAGCACTTTGAGATCTACAGATGAAAAGATGAAAAAAATATTAAGTATTAAGATTTTATGATGGATAATGTATTCACATATCATCCAACTTATATCTTTGTAATATAACAAGGTCCTACAATTTAAGAAAGAACAGATACTTATCCTATACTAACTGTATGTATACTCAATCAGTGTGCATTCTACTATAGGTGCGCATGCATGCGCAAATAGATTTATTTAACAGTAGAATCTAGTGGGGTTGTGCATGCACCACGTGCCTTCTTGTGATTGGGCATAAAGGGTGGGGTTGTTGTGACCCTTACTCAGTTCCCTCGCAATTTGAGCCCTGTGGTAGCAGAGGACTCTGAAAATAGGGATGAGGGTGGTTAGTGGGACCCACATGGACCACGTTAACTTGAAGAACCATAGTTACTGCAGGCTAAGTAACCCTTCTCCCTTCTTTGAGTACGTGTCTAGTGTGGCTCTCACACTGTAAATGACTGGCAAGCGGTACCCCTGCTGGATGGTGGCATGTGTAGCAGCTGCATCAGTCAGGGATTGGAGCACTGCTCCCCCAAATTTGGCATCTGCTCTGGCAGCTAAATCCAATGCATAATGCTTGTCAAGATTGAGTGGATTACTCCATGTGGTTGCCTTGCAGATCTTTAAAACTGGAACATTCCTGAAGCAGGCAGAGGATGCTGCTTGAGGCTTGGTGGAATGAGTTTTGATGTTCAGTGGAAGAGGTACACCAGCCAAATGGTAACACAGTGAGATACAACATGTTATCCACCCAGATATCCTTTGTGATGATATGGCCTGGACTTTGGAGTGGCCAGCAACAGCCAGAAATAAACAGGGAAACAGCCTGAACTATTTGTTTCTGTCAACATAGTAAGGCAGGCTCTGGAAACGTTCAATGTGTTTAACTTCCTCTCCAGGTAAGAATGGGGTTTTGGGAAGAAGACTGGCAGATTTGCTTGATTCAGATGTAATTTTAAGACTAGCTGGGTGATGTATTTATGGATAAGGTGATGCTAAAATCTTACCCTATGAAACATCGGGGAGGGAGGGTCAGCCACAAGCACCTTGGAGCTTGCACACTCTCTTGACTGAAGTGATTGCAACTACGAAGACAGTCTTCAGAGTGAGATGACAACCAGCATTCTGAAAGGGACTCAAAGAGAGACCCCATGAGTCTTGAGAGGATAATACTAAGGTTGCAGATAGGTTCTCTGACTGGGCCCTGAGACACTTTGACATTATCAAGTGAGAGAAGACTGAATAAGACTGTACAGATGGATAGCAAATAGAGATTGCTGCAAAGTGGACTTTAATAGAGCTGAATGTAAGGCTGGAGTGTTGTAAATGCACCAACTAGTTGAGGCTCTGCAGTACTGAAGCCTACGTATGGTCCAGGCCCAGTTGGACTGCTCAAATTAAGAAACTCTTCCATTTTGACAAACAAGTCCCTCTGGTGGACATCTTCCCGATCTATATCAGGATCTTTTGGACTTTTCTAGAGCAGTCCCTGACTTTATCCAACCAATATCCAAGCCTATCAGGTGCAGTGACTTAAGGTCAGAATGGAGTATCTGACTGTGCTCCTGTGAAAGGAGGTCCAGGAAGTCTGGGAGCTGAATCAGAAGCTGAATGGACAGCTGCAGCAGGTTTGCCAGCCAAAACTACCTTGGCCAGTATGAAGCTATGAGAATGATCACAGCTGTCTCTTGATTTTGGAAATCACTTTGGGTATCAGTGGAACTGGTGGAAAGGGGAGCTGGATACCACTGCAGAAAGCAGGCATCAGCCAAGGAGCCTAGGCTCTTGCCCCCTCTGAAACGCTTGATGTTGTCCTTGGTGGTAAACAGTTTTATCGTGAGAACCCTCTCCCCTCCGCCTTTATGATTAATCTCCACAGGAACCGCTTGTGATTGGACAGAGATTGTCTGCTCAGGAAGGCTGCCAGGTCACAGTTAACTTCCATAAGTGAAGAGCCATCAGAATTATCCTGTGTTGGTGGCACCCTGTCCAGAGCTTGATGGACTCCAGACAGAGAGGAGACAAGCATGCGCCTCCTTGCTTGTTGATGAAATGCATTACACATGTGTTGTCCGTCTGGATCGTCACTGCAGAATTCTGCAAAACAGATAGGAAGGCTAGCCTGATGTGTCTGAGCTCCAGGACACTGATGTGGAACCCCCTGTTCTGAGTGATAGCTATTGCATCAACAGGAATTTGTCTTCAGGAAGGTATGCTTTCACTGATCTAGGAGTCAAGGCTCCTATGAACTTTATCATCCGTGATGAGCTAAGAGAGAATTTTGTGTAGTAGACACCTTAGCTCAGAGAACAGGGACAGGACATATTCTAAGCTTGCCACCATCACCTTCTAGGAACTGCCCTGAGTCAACCAATCGTTGAGGTAGGGGTAAATGGGAATGCCCTTTCTTCTGAGATGTGTCACTGGTACTTCACTGGTACTTCTAGGCACTTTGTAAAAACTCTTGGTGCCACGGAGAGCCTGAAAGGCAGTACCTTACACTGGTAATGACTGGTTCCCACTGTGAATCATATGCACTTCATGTGCACCAGATGGACAGGTATGGGTCTCTCATTCCCTGTGCTGTTCCTGGTCTGGCTGAGGACTCGGATGCTGTATCCTTCAAGGAATGATGTTTTGTGTCCTCCCTCTGAGACCTCCCTTCACATTTGACACTATATTTGGATTCCATCTGTCTCTATAGGTGAGCGTTGTCTTTACGTACAGGCATGGCTGCCAGTTTTGATGCCTGTGTCAGAGAGACCAGTGCAGGTGCCAGAACAGTTGATGACGAGACTGTCATTATCGAGGCTTTCACTGTTGAAGACTTCACTGATGTTGAAGTAATCAGTGTTGAAGTCACTGGTGCCAGTTATGGTGGTGCTCTCTTTACCTTCTCTCCAGTGCTTGATTCTGGAATATGATTTGTGCTCAAGGGAGCTCTGGCCAACGCTGGCTCATTTGGCCTTGCTCTAATAGTGATCTTCATTTCTGGGTCCAAAGTTACTGTCATCGATTGCTTTAGCAGATATAGCTTGAGCTGGGTGTCCCTGGATGAAAAGGACTTGCACACAGAGCATCTGTCTGGGATATGGCATTCCCCTAGGCAGAAGAGGCATTGACTGTGTCCATCCTTGGTGATCAGTCACTCACAGGAGGCCAGGGTTTAAACTCTTAAAATTTGGAGTTTGCCACAAGGTGTGGTGGTTAGCATGAAATGCGTCATCCAGGTGTACAGGAGGGTCCCCAGTAACTTTTCTTTTCTCTCTCTCTGTCAAGATAAATATTTCTTTACAAATTTGATTACATAAATGGTTTTAAAGTCTCTAAGAAGAATAGTGTGTTGGCCAGGTGGTAGGTTCCTTCTCACTGCCATGGGTGATAAGAGGGAACTGAGAGAGGGTCAGAGCCACTCTACCTTTAATCCCTTGTGTAGGAGCATGAGGAGGCACAGGGTGCATGTGCGGTCCTGACAGACTCTGTTATTCAAAAGAATCTGATCTCGCATGCATGATGCACATGTACACCTAGTGTAAGATTCAGACACAGAACTTTAGAATCTTAATCAGAACATCAACAGATTAGGAGTAATCATTTAGACCAAGAGAATTTTGCAAGTCACAGAAGTCTGGCTGTCCTTCAATACTAGATGTAGAAAAGAAAAGAGTCTCCTATATCAACCAGTATGACAGAAATCTGAATGTCAATTTGTATTTACCACGCACTCTAAATACCCTGCTATCATATAATCCAAATATCACAATAGCATACACACTAATAGAAAAAGACAAAAAACATAAGAGGGCCAACCTACTGACTTACCCTTAGTTCAACAATGGCCATATGTTGGATTTACTCCCCAAAAATTCAGAATCAGTTGCTCTTCCAGAAGATAAAAAAAACTTGGCCAACTGGTCATGCAGTTTACTTGTCAACTGTTCAGACTGTCATTTCTGCCACAGAGCAAAAAGTGCTTAACAGGCCTTGTGGCTAAAACATAGGACCAAGAGTCAGGATAGATACAAAAATTCTATTCCCGTTTCTGCCACAGACTTACTGGGTACCCTTTGACAAGTCACTTAAACTTTCCATGCCTCCATTTCCCCATCTTTAAAACTGGGAAGATATTATTGACATACACATCACTGGTTAGAAAAAAAGACACTTACCTTTTCTGTAACTGGTGTTCTTCGAGATGTGTTGCTCATGTCTATTCCACAATAAGTGTGCGTGCTCGCCACGTGCACCAGTGCTGGAAGTTTTTCCCCTAACAGTACCTGTAGTGGAGCGCCCCAGTGACCCCTGGAGTGGCGCCTCCATGGCGTGGTATAAGGGGCGCTGCGCGCTCCCCCCAACCTCAGATCCTTCTTGCCAGACAACTCCGACAGAGGGGAAGGAGGGCGGGATGTGGAATAGACATGAGCAACACATCTCGAAGAACACCAGTTACAGAAAAGGTAACTGTCTTTTCTTCTTT